TCAGGCAGCCCCTTCCTACCCCCCCCCCCCTCTTTTATTGCGCCGCGATTAATTGCGATACCTGGCGATGCCGATACCATGCGACCGAATGAATTTTATGCGAGGATATCTGCCGGGAGAGGATCGGCACTAAACGAGACGAGACGACTGCGCGATTGCCAGTCAAACGCGTTACCTTCGTCACGGCAACAAACGTTTACTCACGCGTTTCCGATGGAAAATTACTCGGGACTCGTTGCTTTTCGACTTGGCCGAATTTCCGCGTGAGGCGTATTTGATCACGGTGCGATTAATTTTGAATAAAAGTTCTGAAACGAATCCGTGTCATTTTATCGTTGAAAGAAAGCAATAAAATGAGCTTGATTCTCGCAGACGTCAATTAGTTTACCGAAATATTTGTTAAGATTTTCTATCTCAGTGTGAATTGTCCCCCTAGCAAAATTCCACGGTATCATTCGTTATTAAATGTACGCGTTATTAATATGTGCACATGATTAAATGTCCCGATAATTAAATATAAAACTACATTTTGATAATTAAATATGGAAATGTAAAAACGAATATGCTGCTTCGTTTTCTTTTTATAAAGTTAAGTAATTTTGAAATTGAATCATAGAATTCAGACTTGAAGGGTTTAAAGTCCGAAGTATGGCCATCTGACACGTACGATATGGTAATTTGCCTACAAAAAGTGACATCGCATATCAGTTACGCCGAAAGCAACCTGACCGTGAGAGAGAAAAATAGATCGGTGGAGCCGGATAAAATTCAGCGCGAGATTTCTCTCGCGAGATTTTCTCGCTCGTAGCACCGAGGCGTAACGCGAAGGACGAAAAGTAACCCCGGCAGAGATTTTCAGAGAAGGGATCCTCTCGCGTCCAGCCACCACCCCTCGACCTCGGGGGGAGGATCATAAGTATTCCCGGGGTGTCTAGGCACGTCGCATGAGGTCAAGAATCGTCGGTATGTGCCTCCAGTGTCCCAGTATGGCCGCTACAATCAGAGTGGCACGCGCCCTCGGCTGCCGCTCCTCCCCCGTACCATCCTGAGCTTCTCTACCTCCCGGAAACCTCGTCCACATCGACGATGAGACTAACCCCGAAGAGCGATTCCCCAGCACTTCAGTGATTCCGGAGAACGCGCCCGTCCGCTGTCGTCCGCCTGCCCCATCCCGCCGTCCTGCCGAACTCCGCGCTCCCGTCCCGCACGAATACCCGACGACAAGCGGTTGGATACCGGATGGACACCGTCGCACGCATTCCCGCGGATGCGGTGCATACGTCGCGGCAAACACCGGAAGTCGATTCGCTCGCGGTCTAGCCATACCTGCGTGGCTGTTTCGTATTTGTTTTCGTTTATTTCGTTTTATCCCCCCTATCGCGGAAAACACGAAGAACGTCCCGGAAAAGGTTACTTTCCAACGAAAATTACGGATTAGCGTTTTATGGACCTATCTTGAAGAGCAGGTCTCGCTGGAGCATCTTTCTTAGCGCTTTCGACTAGGAGAATTCTGACACGTTGAATTAAAAATGTATATTTTGCTCACTGCGCTGTAAAATTCGTGTTTATCGCGTGTGCTTCGTGATAAAAGGAAAAAAGTCGTATTATATAACGCGACCCCCACTTTATAATTATATAATATTATTTTCTCCACTTACTAATTTCACTGATACTATTTGTAAAACGATATATAAACGTTCACTGCAAAAATGCTGCACACTTGAAAATATAGTACATCGTTTTTCTCGACAAATCTCATTTCTATACATGTACATGCTTATAAATTGTTGACATCTCTTATGATCAGTGTCCTTTTAAAGCAAGAACTTAATGAGAAAATGACGATCTATCGGAATTTATATTTTTATTTCTTTATATTTCTAAGTCACCGCGCTAAAAATAATTTTATAGAGCAAAACTAACAGATATAATGAAATCAAGTTTGCTTTGAGAATGAATAAGGATACGGTCGAATTTGAATAACTATAATTTTTAATTGTAATATATAATGGGATGTCGAACGTGTCTTAAACGATTTATTAATCCAATTAAGTTCTTTCATTGGTCGTTTAAATATGGATTATTTGTCTTAAGAGTTTTTTTAAACGTGATCTACTAAGTACTAAGTTGCGTGTTGAATAATGTATTAAAGTGTATCGCATCAATTTGCACGTACGTAGTTCATATAAATTCGTTGCCATTTAAAATTCAAATGCTATGAATTTTTAGCTATGATCCAATTTAGCCCCTAATCAAACTTGATGGCCATTATTATATATTTACGTGCATACCACGTATATAATGTTACCACACGATATAAGCTTGTTAAAATGTAAACGGAAAAAAAGAAAGAACATTTTGAGAGTTGCAGAAGATAACTAAATGTAAGGAGACTTGGATGATGGTATTTAACAGAATTCCCCATACTTTTTCCTCACGATTATGGCCAGGGCATGGAACTCGTGGCACGCGTCTCTATCCCTTCTCACGTCTAATCCCTAAGAGAACGCATTCCCATCCCTCTCTCCGCCCGACATCACCCTGTATATCTAAGGACATCCAGCTGAATACCAGAGGAACACCATGCCATACATTCTGATGGAAAGGAAATGATCGCCAAACATTTCGTAATCCTTTCAATCGCATACTATGTTTAGCTTTGAACCAATGCACATACACGGAGAAAAATTAGTCTTAAATTAAAAATAGATATTTTCATATATAAACAAAAATATTATAATCTTCTCAGAAGATTTTTAATCTTGAATTGAATTCAAGTAATATTTGCATCAATTATAAATTCAATCAAATCAAGACAAAGCCGGTATTCATAGTCGGATCTTATATTTAAGACCGTTTTAAACTTATTTTCAGATGTTGTACGATTTATTTCATTGGCTGCAAAGCATCTGAAAATAAACGTAAGACGATCTTAAATATAAGATCTGATTATGAATACTAGTCTAAAAGTCTTCTAAGACAACTATAATATTCTTGCGCATATATGAGAATGTCTCTTCTTGATTTAAGACTAATTTTTTTCTGTATATCATTTCTATTTTATAATTACCGTCAAATGGAAGAAAATATATTTGAGACAATATTATTGATAAGAAAATTATCGATCTATGAATATATAAAAGTAACATAGTTAAAAAATTAAATCTAATAATTAAAAATGTTGCAATTTTTAAGAAATGACGAAAAATATGCGTGGGAAACTATATTGAATTGATAATATTATAACATAAAAAGACGATTTTTCGACAATATATATATATGTATATAAAGTTGAAAAACAAATGAAGAAACTTGGTGTTATGTAAATAATATGTTTTTTGTTTCTATTTGTGCCTACCTGAGCTAAACATTTTAATCTTATTATTATTATGGCCACTATACCTAAATTGCAGTAACTATAAATTATACCAAATAACAAATATAACTTTACCACAGCGATGATCTCCCTTCACCACATTCTTCGCCTTCGTCCTTCCATCTCCTTATTCTCGCATAAACGATTCTCGTTCTCGCCCGACATCTTGAATATGCAAAGCAAAATTGTCGTTAAAAATGACATAAATGTCGCTAAAACGGCCATATTCCAAACATTCGTGCGACAACCCGTGCTAATTCAGTCGAGTCGGCATGCTAGTACATGATTTTATATAAAGGAAAGCGTAGTAAATAACGCGATGGGAATACATTTAATATAACGTGAAATACCTCTCACTGTTGTTCCTGTCACGTTGTTCCAAGTTTCTCGAGCACTCAAACACGACAGGATCAAACACGCAACTGTCGACGTTGAGCGACGCGCACTATTGAGACATCTTGCGGTCATCTTGCTGTATTAACGTTCGAACCGTGACGGTTTGGCGCGCTGTCGATAGGCGATTCGATAGCGTATACTTGAAAGTGTCTTTTGTGTGAATTTAAATATAAATGACTAAAGCGGTTACACAAATTGTTGTTTGTTTAACATTAACTGCTTTAAGGCAATTGAAATCTTTAGCAATTGTTTCGTGTCATTTTCTAATTTAAATTCTTTGCCTTGGAGAGAGACGTTAGACTGTTTATGTTTGCTGTCTACTGCCTCTCGCATTGTTGACTCCTTCGAGAACATTCTCGAAGTTTGGTATTATGACTATCGCTGCCTTTATAATCGGCAGCGGCTCTCGTAACACCAGCTGGTTTTTGACTTTCAACGAAGCTAGACTATCCGATCACATATAAGACACCGTTCGCAATTGATCCTTCTTAAATAAACCAGCAAGATTAATAAAGAGTTTGTTAATCGGCGCCTGTACCATCATCCTCGTAACCAGGGAATTAAGCTAAAGTTTCTACTTCGTTTGCGTCAATCATGGACTTCCCGAGACTACACGCAAAATCATCAACAGCAATAAAATGTAATATTGTTTCAGTCAAATATTCAGAAAAATATTCTCGTATTATTTTTCAGATAAAAATATAATTTTGGATAAGAGAAGCTCCATATTATTGCGAAAATGGGAAAGCAGGAAAAAATATACGGATACCTAATAGACCAACCATTGCCAGATATATCTTTGGGGCAATCGATAATGAATAAAATGCACGAGTATAGTGATACTGTTTTCTTGGTATGTGACATAATTACGAACGCACGCTTACGATACCAATCACGAGCTGATCACTTGCGTAATTTCACGATGAAAAAGTGAAACGTGTCAAATAACAAAAGCTTTTTATAGTTCCATCAGCGTTAATCGTCAGATGAAAGGCGAAATTCCGCGAATTCTATCTCTGAATTTTCGTTGTTGCATTATGCATTGCTCATAATGACTAGTCCCACACCTATCCACGTTCCATTTTTATGTTAATTCGCTTTTAAGCCGCAAGCATTGTGAAAGAAGAAACTTAAATAATATTTCATGTTTCAAATAATAATGCGTAATCCGTTAAAGGTGATTTTAGCGATTGTACATTTCATATTATAATCATCTGACATGACAATTGTAAACGTCTCAGAAGGAATGCATTATGTGAACAAATATTTTTGATAAAATCAAGTATATAAATATTTTTTTTGTTTCCTTTAGTGACAATTCTGTAATACGAATCTAAGATCGTCGAAGTATCCAACATATTTTAATACCCGTTAAAATCATTCTAATACTTTTATTGTTTGCTTCTAACAGATAGATGGATGTAATAATGACTATCGGCTAACGTACAGAGACCTACTCGAGAAAAGTGTGAAACTTGCAAAGTTTATGCAACGATACGGAATCAAGATTGGAGATAGAATTGCCATCGTAAGCGAAAACCGATTAGAATGGTTGATAGCGCTTTGCGCGACGCTTTATATTGGCGCTATATTTGCGCCATACAATCCTACGTACACGGAATGTAAGTAGAAATATTAATGTCTAAAACTTATGTTTTATACAATTAGTATATATTTTCTTAGTATCTCTCTATTTCTGAGTGTATTAAAAATAATAACAATCTTAAATTTTACAAACGTCAAAAATATAAATGTTAAATGTAATTATCAATATCAATTCGGGATACGTGTATCACATTTGATGTAACATTCGAACCTAATTTTTATAATATAATTATCGAGTACCTATATAAATATTGCATGCAATAATGATCTAACAATCTTTCAGGGGAATTTCGACACGTGTTGAACATCTCGGAGCCGCGAATAGTCTTTGTGTCTCAGCGCACTGAGGAAACCTTCACAAAACTCCAGCCGAGTTTATCTTGGCAAATCGAACTAATCGAATTGGATGATAAACCGTTCGCAGCCAACATGCGCACATTGACGAATATCTTAAATGACGAAAAAGTCGCGGATTTTCTGAAATACAAAACGGTTAATATCGGTGATATTAAGAAGCATCCAGCGGTTCTTCTTAATTCGAGTGGTACAACAGGATTGCCAAAAGCAGTAGCACTGTCCCATAGGAATTTATTAACGTTACTTCTTAAAGTATCGTAAGTAATGTACTTTAGCAAATTTATTTTCAAATGACGGTTAAATTAATATACCTACTACAACTTCAACAAAAAGAAGTTTAATTAAAAATAGCTAGGTGATTTACACATACAACACAATAATTTCGATATTAGTCCAATTAAAATTGACATTGTATCTTTGTACTGATTTAAACGCTCATCGTCTTTTTTCTTTCGATTACAATATAATATATTTTGATTACAATATGAATACACAAAATCGCCTGAAAAAGTTTTCAAACAAAGCTTATCTCTACAATTTCACATTGCGACGATGTGCGACTCGCTGGCGTTCAAAAAGAGCAGACATCATTTCGTCATTTGAAAATATCGTTAAAAACTTGACTCTTTTCATTCATACACTTACAATGAGTCTCATTGATAATATAGCAAGCGGGACTTCCTCGATATAACGCAGGACACTAGAAGCTTAATATTTCTGCCGTTTTATCATGGTTTCGCGTTCGCCACGCTGTTAATAAGCTTGACGGTTGGCGCTAACGTCATGGTAATGTCTAACTTCCAGCCGGAACGGTTTTTGAAGTTGGTACAGAAATATAAGCCTACCTTTTTGCCGATCGTACCGTCGATCATGACGTTATTGGCGAAGCACCCGCTGGTGGAGAGGAACGACTTTCGCAGCCTGAGAGAAATCCTCTGCGGAGGATCGCCGCTCGGAAAGGAAGTAAGTTTTCTTCGGTCGCGAAGTTCGTCGTGCTCTCGCTGTCGTTCCCCATCCTTAACCCCTTTACCGCCTCGCCAAGTTATCACGGCAAGAAAAGCCATTGGGAGCTAAGTGCCGAAGTGAGTCCTCGATGCCGCGGTGGTGAGAGGATCGAGCGAGGGACCGCGAGGAAATCTGGGAAGTCGTCGTCGCGTTTTCACGAGACACACCGCCGGAGTAACTTTATCGTTCGCTGCATTCGTTTTTGTTTAACCTGTTTAGTGTCGCTAAGAGAGGGGGGACGGGCAGGTGGGAAATAAAAAGCCGCATTCGCGAGCTCGCAGTCGCGTCTTTCGGAAAATGCGAAACTGATCTCTCGAGCGTTCATTGATGAACGGGGGATGAGGGAGTTTCTTGTCAAGTTTCGAAAACCGAGCACGCTTCCGAACTGTGTCCCCCCAAGTACCACCAAGCCCTTCTTTAGTCGGTGACCTTACCTTCATTCCACCCTCGTGTTTGTGAGTGACGATTACGTTGAGATTAAATAAACGTTGAAAAGAGGATGCTATCAGGATAATCCTTTTGTAACTTTCGCTTTCGTAGCTTGTAGATGCGGTGAAAGCTCGCATCGGCGATATATACATACGAAACGGCTACGGAATGACGGAGTTGACGGTATTGACCAGCGTGAGTGCTTACGAAGAAAGTGATGTCACTGCTCTGCATTGCATCGTACCTGGACTATGCAGCAAAATAGTTGATATCGAGACACAGAAGACTTTGGACGTGGATCAGGTTGGGGAAGTCTGCTTCAAGGGTGACCAAATAATGATGATGTATTGGAACAATCCCGAAGCTACCAAGCAGACCATCGACGAGGACGGATGGCTGCACACGGGCGACCTTGGCTATTACAACGAGCACGGTGCGATGTACGTAGTCGATCGGTTGAAAGAGCTGATCAAATACAACGGCTACCAGGTCTCGCCGTCGGAGATAGAGATGGTCTTGCTGTCGCATCCCGCGGTGAGAGACGCTACAGTCTGCGGCAGACCCGATCCGCGCAGCGGGGAGCTGCCCACGGCTGTGATAGTGAAACAGCCTGGCGCTACGGTCACCGCCGAGAACATTATGGAATTTGTCAAACGTGAGTGATCTCTCGATGGTTCATTAACTATTTGAATGCTGGGAAGGAAGCTTTGCGTTATAATTTCCGATATAATTTGCCGGCACAACCAATTTTATGCCGTTGCGACCAAATCTGTCGGTTACAATAGGGGACGGCAAAACGATTTGTTAAAAGTACCAATTGCCATTCACTGGATTATTTTGCTGAATCTACAAATTATTTTGCTGTGAGAAGATATTACTAAATGTGGGAAAACGCTATTTCGTTTCAACATTATCGTATCTAAATTAATGTGTCTCTCTCGATCGAGATCTACATCTATTGACTTTTCACATGAAAGGGATGATAAATGAATCTTTTGCAGCGCGATACGTCAAGGATTAGACGCGTATTATCACATTGGATCTAAACGCGCGAGTGGGACGCGGGGTGGTGCCATGATGGTGCCAGCAGCAAATGCGGAGTGACGTTGCGATAACATTAAACGTCGTGTTATATTAACGGGATTATTGCTCATTAGCGATGCTACTGTAAATACGCAGTTAGAACCACGTCGCGTTATTTTTTTTCACACAAGTTATCAGTTGTTTTTGTTATCTTTTTAATTTGAATATACGATGTATACTCGTTGCAAGGAGAGGAAAATTTCCACGTCTCCTGTCTTAATATTGCGTTTTAATAATGGGCACCGAGACAAGCCACAGCATTAACTGAGCGATTCGATCTATCTTTCAGAGAAATTGTCGCCGCACAAATGGCTGCGCGGCGGGGTGCAATTTGTCGATGCTATACCTAAGAATGCCACCGGCAAGAGTCTACGTCGTGAGGTTCAGTTGATGATTCAAGCAACGGTCTCAAAGCTATGATGTTGGACTCATATTAACAAAAAAACCTCTTTAAACATTAATTAAATAGATATAATTTAGATTAATAGATATATCTAATTAGTTATATATATGTCAATCGAAAAGTCCACTTGTTCCCTATTAAAATATTTGGTTGAGAGCGACGCATGTGATAAAATTGCCAATCTTAACAATGTTAATATATATATTCTTATTTTAACAGCTAAAATACGGCTATAGCACTAGCTGTTTCTATTTCAATGATACATCTTAGCTGCTATTTTTTAGTTGTAATAGTTAATTCTTTTTCTGAATGTAATCGAGTAATTTAAAAATAAACTGTTTTTATCGATCGAGGTGCAATCAATGAAACATATGTGCAATCGCACAGTGGTGCAGTTCCTTCCACAAATACATTGGGACAACACGAGTGAATGATTCACGTTATTGATTACATGATATCGCTCTCGTACCAACCTATATTAATCTCGCATTCCTACGAAAATAAGCGAAGAAACCTGTTGCGTTACACACGTCAGCGAGCAGCGGGCAACGAGCAACACGCGCTCTCATACTTCATCGATATCCACAACTTTTGTCCTGTCTTCCTTTGCAATGATATAGCTCGAACTTCACGTCTAGTCCTCGAATCTCTCTTGCCGGAATGTAGTGATTTAGGAAAGATCGGTAACAGGATTAACTCCTAGATAAGGTGACAACATCTCCGTAATGAGCGTACGATACGACAAACTCCCCCCGAAAACTATTTTGTGACAACAGATTTAATTAACAATGACATCAATCTTCCATTTTTCTTGCTTCTTAAAAGCTCTATTTTAGAATAAAACTTATTTGTATAATTTATCCGTATTTCGGTTTAAGACTGATTTGAAATTCAATGTATCTTTAGATCCGGAGTGTAAGAAGAAAAATCGACTGATATGTGCACGATGTTTCGTGCTACCTTTGCGCCTAATGAGTGTAGATCAGTTGCAAAGATGCTAAAATTGTTCCAAATGTGTTTATAAGCGATAATTGTAATGACTGCGTCACCTCGACGAGATGGTTAATGTTGCCGAAAAAGTGCGGTACAAATTGACGGCGGTTTCGGCGAATCAACGGGATTATCGGTGTCCGTATCGGAGAAATTTAAATTTCACGTCGCGGACCCTCGAATATGGCCGGATATGGCGTAGTCGCGTCAGTACGTGAAAGTACGTCTGTGTGAACGCGCACACGTGTACAACCATTGACAGTTATGTGTACGTGCTCATGCCTCGCGTTCCTGTTGATTTAATTACGACGATTGGCTTGACAAATCTAATTGACGTGCATCAATTATTTGGGCCGCGTTCGAAGGCCGTTTAATTCCCTATCCTCTTTTCGACGAGAACACGGTTTCGCTGTAATTCCATTTTTCAGGGACTCTTCGTGAAATTTCGTTTGGTGTTGTGTCCTCGAGTCGTCAGCGAGTTTCTATTTCGACATCCGGTCGATGAACGGATAAAACCTATCTGTAAAAGCGCGTTTCTACGAGGGAATTAATATTTCTCGAATTTTACGTTGTATGGGTATTATCATTAATAATGATACATATACGATATATATATACGATATATATATCATTAATAACAATATATGTACTATATATATACGATATATATATA